TGCATGTGTAGGGGCAGGAGCAGGGAGGAGGGTATATTTTGCAAGACTCAATTTTCTACAAACTTGCCACAACTTTTTATTCCCATATTCATGAGAAATATTGATCAGCAGTTTTCTTAGAATATATTTGCTACTCTTGGTTTAATCAAGGGTAATGCTGGTTTCATAGAAGGAGTTGCAAAGTTTTACCTCTTCAATTACGTTCTACAAAAATGTATGGAAACTGGTATTAAGTCTTCCTTACACGTTCACTGTAATTCCCTAGTAACATTATAGGATGTTGAATTTTTTGGAGGGCATTCCACTTTGTTTAATATAAGCCAATCTCAGGTTATCTATTTCTTCATCTGTGAACACTGATAGCTAATAGATTTTATAATACTTGTCTTTTGCTTATAATAACCCTTTATTCTTTTATTACCTATATAATACATAGTGATATACTCCTTTATCATTTTCTATATTTGTAATGCAGGTCTTTATTTTTTCATGCTCAGAAATTCAAGTTTCACCATCTGTGATCAAAAAGCAGCTTTGTGGGACCAGAGTTGTCACACAGAGGGTTAAGCTGCTACCTAAAATTCCAGTATCCCATGTGGGCACTAGTTCAAGTTCCAGCTGCTCTACTTCTGATCCAGCTCCCTGCTAATGTGCCTGGGTAAGCAGTGGAAGATGGCCCTAGTACCTGGGCACCTGGCATTTAAGAGGAAAACACAGATGGAGTTCCAGGCTCCAGGCTTTGGCATGGCCCCGCCAGGTCTGATGTGGCCATTTGGGGAGTGAACCAGCAGATAGAAGACCTCCAATTTCTGTGTGTTTCTTTTTCTCTGTAACTCTGCCTTTCAAATAAATAAAATTAAAAATTCAACACAATAAGCAAAAAAAAACAACTTTAGGTTCCATTAGTTTTCTCTATTGTTTTTCTGATATCTCATTCATTAATTTATACTTTTACCTATATTAATTCCCTTTCTTTGCAATCATTGTGCCTTTTCTTTTTTTTCAAATTCCCTGATGTGTAAGCTGCTGTCATTATTTTGAAATTATTTTTCTTTTCCAAGAAGGAACTTGTTTCATATATATTCCATGAGTCATTTGTCTTAGCTGCATCCCTCTAATTTTGATATTTCATGTTATAATTGCCATTCAGTTCAAAACATTCTAAAATATTATTTTTATTTATTCTTTGTCCCTTTAGTTTTGTGGGGTATATCATTTAGTTTAGTTTCACACTGTCTAGAAATTTTCTAGATATAATTCTGCTGTTGATTTCTACCTAATTCCACTGTAGTCAATATATTTTATATATTTTGAATCCCTTAAAATGAATTGAGAGTATTAAATCCAGTCATTATACCTTTATTACAGCTAAAGACAGAAACTCCAGAATGTCTCTTATATAAAATTCAAAATTGTTCCAGGATTACAGTATTATACTCAACTAAGCACATTCCTTTCTATATGATTCTCACTTCTAAGCAGTGGCAAGTGGAAAAAATAACATTTAATTTGAAATATTTATCCTAAATCAAGGTTAACTAATACAACCTTACAAATTAATCAGGCTTTAGCTAATTTCTAAGAGTTCCACTAAATATAATTTTATGCATCATCTTTTTCCCCTCAAATTTAATATATTTTACTAACAGTTTATTAAATTTAAGCCAAAAGGGTATCTGTCATATAGGAGGAATGATTAATATTAAAAAGTTAACAATATTTTCCAGTAATATCACGACTCCTAGACATTTAAGTTTATAAGCAGTTCAAATAAATGTGTATAAAAGTAGTTTCAATTTTTTTAACTTTCTTTTTTAAGATTCATTTTATTTATTTGAAAGACAGAATTACAGAGAGAGGTAGAGACAGAGAGAGAGGTCTTCCATCTGCAGGTTCACTCCCCAGGTGGCCACAACAGCTGGAGCTGCATCGATCCAAAGCCAGGAGCTTCTTCCTGGTCTCCCACATGGACTTGGGCCATCCTCCACTGCTTTCCCAGGCCACAGAAGAGAGATGGGTCAGAAGAGGAGCAGCTGGGACTCAAACCAGCACCCATATGGGATGCCGGTGCTTCAGGCCAGGGCTTTAAAAAGCTGCTCCACTTTTTTAATTTGAGAGGCAGTGAGACAGAAAGTGAGAGTTCTCCCACCTGATAGTTTCTTCCACAAAGGCCTACAACTTACATAAGTCAGACAAGGCGCTGAACCACTAAGCTGGGAACTCAACACAGGTCTCCCACATTGCAGGCAGGAACTCAATCACTTGTGCTATCACCACTGCAATTTTGGGTCTGCATTACTAGGGGGCTGGAACTGGGAGCCAGAGCCAAGTATCAAGTCCATTACTCCAATAGGAGACACGGGAACTCTAATTACTATCTTAACCATTAGAACAAACACCCAACAGATAGTTTCAATTTCTAAAGTAGTAATCAGTCTATGTGGCAAGCTTTAACTGCTAACAAAAACTATTCTGCTTGGGTGAGCATGCAAATGACATCACTGTGACTTGACTAAAATGATCCCAAGTCTATTCTGAATCTTAACACATTAGCTTTCAAACTCAAAGATGCAGTACATATTTCATGAGTCAGACATAAATTAAGTATAAATAAGTGACAAAACTCATACTGGAAATATAATCCTTCCATTACAAGAAATAAGATTTTCCAGAAAGGTGCTGTTGGTGAGAATTAATAATCTCCCTCAGGGCCAGAGTTCTGGCACAGTAGGCTAAGCCTCCACCTGCAGCACTGGCATTGCACATGGGCACCGGTTTGTGTTCTGGCTTCTCCTCTTCCAATCCAACTCTCTGCTTATGACCTGGGAAGGCAGTAGAAGATGGCCCAAGTGATTGGCCCCTGCACCAGTATGGGAGACCCACAAGAAGCTCCTGGCTTCAGATCAGCTCCACTCCAGCCTTTGCAGCCAACTGGGGAGTGAACCAGCAGATGGAAGACCTTTCTCTCTCTTTCTCCATCTCTCTGTCTATAACTCTATCTCTCAAATAAATGAAATATTTCAAAACAAACAAAAAAAGAATTTCCCTAGTATTCAGCAAACATTCTCACAACCTCAACTAGCACTGGTATATTAGCATGGATACATAACATTTTAAAGTAAGATTACAAAACTGACTTGATCTTATTAAACCCTATAAAAACAAATTAAAATTCTGTTCAGGAATGTGAAAGGTCAAGATAACATAATTACATAATTGGAAATAATAATTAGAAGTGCTATGCAAATACTTCAACTGAAATGAGATGACAGAAGAGTTGTTGATATTAGCCAAGTACTGTGATAGAGAGAGGCAATAATCCAAAAAGTTCTATGTAAAAACTGTAATGACTTTCTCTGGGACAATCAGGAGTTCTCTAGTAGCCTGGCTCCCTTTTGAAAAAGAGTTGTTTAGGGGCCAGTGCTGTGGCATAGTGGGTCAACACCCTGGCCTAAAGCACGGGCATTGCATATGGGCGCCAGTTCGAGACCCAGATGCTCCACTTCCGATCCAGCTCTCTGCTATGGCCTGGGAAAGCAGCAGAGGATGGCCCAAGTCCTTGTGCCCCTGCACACACATGGAAGACCAGGAAGAAGCTCCTGGCTCCTGGCTTCAGATCAATGCAGCTCCAGCCATTGCAGCCAATTGGGGAGTAAACCAGCAGGCAGAAGACCCTTCTCTCTCTCTCTCTCTCTCTCTCTCTCTCTCTCTCTCTCTCTGTGTGTGTGTGTGTGTGTGTAACTCTTTCAAATGAACAAATAAATCTTAAAAAACTTGAACTCTGTCTTTGCAACCAGTCAACTTTAGGGCCACAGGGATTCTTTTGGACAAGATCATTAATACCTTGCAACTAAGGAAATCAGCTCCATAATAAATTTTTCTCCATTAAGTATAAGTTTATGCACAGGTAAGTCTTACAATTTTCAAATGTGCTACCTTTAACAAAGTAATCAGGAATTCATTAACAATATCTGACATCTATGTGTCAGGGACTTTTAATCCCTTTAACGTGTTTTTTACCTCATTTTAAAAAAAATTCGTATTTATTTATTTATCTGACCGGCAGAAAGACAGAGACAGAGAGAAATACAGAGCAAGAGAAATAGAGACAGAGAGAGAGTAGGCCCCTACTTGGTGATTTACTTCCCTAATACCAGCATCAGCCCCCATCTGAGCCAGAGCCAAAGCCAGGAGCTAAGAAGTCAATCCACTGCTCTTACTTGGGTGGAAGGAACCCAACTACTTGAGCAATCACCACTGCCTCTGCCTCCTAGGACATGCATTAGCAGGAAGGAGTCAGAAGACGGATTTGGATGTCAAATTCAGGCACTACAATATGGGATGTGGATGCCCTAAATGGTATCTTAAACACGGAGCAAAACAGCCACATGACGTTTTACCTCATTTAAACCCCATGGGAAATCTGTGAAGTAATTGCTGCCATTACTTACATCAGACCCATAAGGAAACTGAAAATCGAGAGACTGAATGAGTTGCTTTAGGCCCACATCTACAACTCAAGCAATCCAATTCTAGCATCTGTATTGTCTGTTAGTTTATATTGTCTATTCCTAACTAGAAGGTATATCTAGATTTACATGCCAAAGAATACTAAACTAAATTTTTAAAGGGCTATTCTGAACAATCAATTGAAAGGAAATTTGATTTCCACACATTTTTCAGGGGACAACTGAGGACAGATCTTAGGCTGTAAATTACAACCTGTGACATTTACTAAAATTCTATGGTCCAAAAGTAGAGGAAAAAATTACTGAATTGACATGAAAACCTGAAACATCATTGTGATACTCAGGTGAAGAAAAACTGCTATTTACAACATATTAAAGACAAGAAGCTACTGTAATAATTGAGATTAGTGATTTGAGATTAAAATTGAAAGTTTCAGATTTAATAATACAAATCAATGCTTCCAAATCAAAGAGAGCAAAGCAAATATAAAGAACATGTATATTCTGTTCATACAGCTGTTATAATTTTACCTTTTGGTTGCGGGGTAAATCTTGGGCATTTGATGGAGGCTTGTAATTCAGAACTAATCTTCTAAATTCCAAAAGATTGAATAATGACTGAAAAAGAACAACAATTTAAGGGACTATTCTATGAATAAAATGAGAGAATTACTTTTGACAACTAAACCACTTATACACAGAACTGTTGAAATTTAGAAAAGCACTTTTCTCCCAGAGATTAAAAAACCACATTTCTTATATTGTATAATACTATTCTTTTTAATTAACAATATTAATTCTACTGAAACAAAATATATACACAAAAATCACCATGTATTGAATTATTAAAAGTTCTTTCTTAATATTACTATGGCTTAACAAGCAATCTCCTCAAATAAAAGTACTCAATGCAAAATCAAACTTTTTAGACATATTAACTCTACCATGAATTATCTAAAAAATACAAATAAATTTATTCACCAGATGCTAGAGATAAAATAAATAGTACCTCTATGCTCACAAAAATATACAATCTAGAAAGGTGATAAATATAAATATATATATTTATAAAAAAATGATACCAGATACAGTAAAATTGGTCACACCAAATTATAATGAACACATATGTACCTCTAAATAACTACTTCATTCACTAACACTCTACTGGAGAAAGCAGTAGCAGAAAATCAGTACTTAACAAATTTAAAAGAAAAGGATTTATTTATTTACTTGAAACATAGAGTTGAAAGAAACAGAGGGAGAGACAGAGAATCTTCCACCTGCAGGTTCATTCCCCAGATGGGTTCAATGGCCAGGGCTGAGCCACATAAAGCCAAGAGCTTTATCCAGGTCTCCCATATGGGTGACAGGGTTCCAAGCATTTGAGGCATCTTCCATGCTTTTCCCAGGCCATTATTAGGGAGCTGGATCAGAAGTGAAGCATCCGGGACACAAACTGGTGCCTATATGGGATGCCAGCATTGCAGGTGGTGACTCTATCCATTACACCATGACATCAGCCCCACAATCAGTACTTTCTACACAAAAGTCCCAACTAAAAAGAATAAAAATAATGCTCACTAGATAAGAGGTTGATGTCTAGCCCAAAGCTAATATTACTAGTGTCCAAAGATTATTTAAGTTATTCTCTGTATAATCTTCTTTTTGTGCTTATGGTCCCTTTCTGATATTCCGGTCCCCTTTTCTCCCAAAATATTAGTCTCAGTACCTAAAAGACCATATATGGAAGGTTACACCTTTTGTAGTCTTCCCTAGCTACCAGCCTAAAGTCAGAGGTTTACATTCCCAATAAACTTCTATAATTTTTAATGTACTCATAAGCAATAAATTCCCAAGGATTTCCTATAAGTCTAGCCAACTAAGTTAATTCCATCTGTGAGAAAATTTTACAATTTAAACATTATAGTACATTTATGTCATAGTTGGAACGAGTTTCAAATCACTTTGGAAAGCAATTAAAAACCCCAGTACTAATGCAGGGATTTTGCCCAATTTTCTTTCATAGTGAAAAGTTCCATTTATCATATAAGCTGCTGTACCTTAGTTTATATGTCAGAATTAGCAATAGAGAAAGAAAATGAAAGGAAAAAATATTCTAATTACTAATAAAAACAAAAAGCTACTTAATAGAGTCTAATAGCCTTTAAAATTACAACATAACAAAACTGCAAGTGATCTATAAGCAGATTTTTCTGCCAGCCTACAACTTCCCAAAATCTGAAGCTTACGTTTTCCACCTCCCCAAAAGATAGTTTCTTATTAGGCCATTATAATCTCAAATTTTAAGGTTAGAGGTTACTTCTCCTAGGCATTTAGATTTCTCAAAACAATAATAATAACTTCTAATACCATGTACTTGCCAATGAAATGATTTAAATATCTATTTAACTTAAAATTGTAAAAGTAGTAAAATTACATATTAAACTATTTTAAACTTAAACTTATTTTAAACTTACTTTAAATTAAACAATTTAGTGGAATATTAAGCCTATGACCATAATAAATTAAAAATGTTATATAAAAATTAAAAATATGAAAAAGTAGCACTTCCTCATGAGTCTTCTAGAATTATACCCTTTTTTATGTATGTATGCTCTCAAATTCAATGTAAAATATACTAATCTAGTCACAAACATAAAACTAGAAAAATTAGCTGTTTTTAACAAACAAGAAATTTTGAAGGAGACAAGCAATTTTAATAGTCTATTTCCTCTCCAACAAAAATGCCAAAATTTGAAACAGAAAGCAAAAGGATAGCAAACAGAATATAGATAGAAATAGATGAACAACTGTATTGTTTGAACTGAATTATGGGAAAAACTTCATTCTATTAAAACAAAACGTGGTGAGCCCTATAACTACTAATAACAATTTAGTTATCACTTCAAGCAGGCTTTTCTTATACACATGGTATGGAAAACAAAGAGCATGTATTCAAACTAGCAAATATTAATTATTCGCAAGTGCATTCTTTTTATACTTTTCAAAGAGAAACTTTCACTCGATGAGCCTCATTAACTGGCCACAGTGGCTTTGAGATAGCTCCTAGTCATGCACAGATAGGCAGCAAACCTATGCAAGGACACTCGGATCACAGACTTAAAGCTGTACTTCAAAGGGCCCATAAGCCTCCACTGTGGCGCTAGCATCCCACATAAGCACCAATTCCTGTCCCAGCTGTTCCTCTTCTGGTGAAGCTCTCTGCTTATGGCCTGGGAAAGAGGTGGAAGATAACACAAGTGCTTGGACCCCTGCATCCTACGTGGAAGAACCAAAAGAAACTCCTGGCCCCTGGCTTTGGATTAGGCCAGCTCCAGCCATTGTGGCCACTTGGGTAGTGAACCAGCAGATGGAAGACCTTTCCCTTTCTCTAACTCTGCCTCTTAAATAACTAAAATCTAAAAAAAAAAAATGGGAAGTGGAGCAGCCGGGTCTTGAAAAGGTGCCCTGTACTTCATATTTTGAAATGTCTAAATTATGAAATAAAAACCTCAAATATTGTAATTAAAGCGAGATAATCTATTAAGAAGATCTAAGAGATTTTAAGATATCAAAAAAAACCCTTAGGTATTTTTATGTCCTAAATGTGAATTAATAACACATAATCAAGGCCGGTAGCAAAAGTACTTCTACAGATGTGTTAATCCAGGTACTCTTTAACATATTAATATCTTGAAAAAACAAATAACATGTTACTTTATCAGTATGTACTATAACATATTAAAGAGTGAAGAATAGGGCCAGTGTTGTGGCACAGAGGGTTAAGCTGTGGTCTGCAGCACATATATCCCAACTGGGTGCCTGTTCAAGTCCAGTTGTTCCACTTCTGATCCAGCTCCCTGCTGATGTGCCCGGGAAGGCAGTGGAGGATGGCCCAGGGGATTGGGCCCCTCCACCAACATGAGAGACCTGAAGAAAGCTCCTGGCTTCGGCCAGGCCTAGCCCTGGCCTTTGCAGCCATTTGGGGAATGAACACTCTTTTTCTTTCTCTCTCTCTCTCTCTCTATTATATATATATATATATATACACACACACACACACATATATGACTTTCAAATAAATGAATACATAAATCTTTTTTAAAAAGTGAGGAATAAATCCCAAAATCCAAAATGAATCTAATCATAAATTATTTTTGCTAAATGCAAAAACGGGGTGGGGGGGCTCAACTGTTAATACTAAAGCAGAAAATTAAAATTATAAATTACTTTCATAGGGAAACAATGAAGCTTGTAGAAAATAAACTGAATAACCAAGTAGCTGTTTAATATCATATGAAAATATCATTCATTAGGCTAAGAAAGTGACAAAATGAAAAGATAGTTTGCATATAAAAAGAAATAGATCACCAACGACTTAAAAACCACTCATCTGGAAAACAAAATAATAAACTACAATTCAGTACATTACAAAAATAAACACAAAAATATGAGCAATAACTGATTTTTCTTAACAGTAATAAAAATTAAGGGCATATTACTACTCATAAATGGTTTTACTTAAAGTTTTATATTCTGATTATCAATGTCAACTAAAAGTAATAAAGAACTGACAACTGCCACTATCAAAAAATTTCTAAACAAAAATTATGATCAATATATTCAATGCATATTCCAAATAATTTAAACTATATAATATATAAACAATATAAATTATATAAACTATATATGCAAATATCTGTTATTTTAGATGCATTAGAAACATTTCATGAGGGGCTTCATAGTTAAGAAAATATGATATTCTTTATCAATATTTATTCTTTAGATCATTCTCACATATTCAATATGAATATTTGTAATTATATAACAAATACCTACTTCATATTAAAATATTATTTATGACTATAATTTTTTTATTATACAAAGAAATCTGATTATGACCACAAAAAGACAGTTCTGGTTTCACATTTGGGTTACAATGCTTCCCTAAATTTACAGGAAATATATAAAAAAAATTTCTTTCCAACTCAACAGCAACTCCTAATGGCAAGGAGAATGGACATACTAACTCCAAGCAAGTGAAAAGCATGGACATCTATTGCTGAAATTCCAATCTAGGATGATGACCAAAGCTGGGTTAAGGGATTCTGCAATCTCACTAGTTTATTAGGCAGCATATATCTTACTAGTTTATTAGACACCATATTATAAAAAGCCAGCTAAACTACCCAGCCTGAAAAAACACAACCCAAACCGAATGCCATTGCTCTAATATCCACCAAATGAAAGCTGCATGAAGATGCTTACCTGAATAACTGCACTAAACCAACAAGTATTGCCAACATTCTTTAATCCAACGGGAGCTTTGTCTTGCCTTTTTCTATCATAAGGGTTTCGAGAATCTCTCCAAACTTCAGTAGGTGTCCTCTTCAAACATGCTTTGTTTTCTGCTATACTGGCTTCAAGAACTCTTCAGAAATGGAAGAAAATGATAGAAAAAAAAACTTATTATATAATGTTGTGCTCTACACCACAGCATATGTAAATTCTAAGTATTTTGACTATATAAGTTCTGACTAATGTACTCGGGAAAATAATATTTAACACTAAATTTACTCAAATAGAGATTATTTTTCTTAACAAGAATAAAGTGGAAATACCAACAGATCAAGGCAAGTGTGGTATCTTTTCCTATGAAAAAGAAAATATCAAACACAAAAAGTTATATACATATTAAAAAAACATGTCAAATTATATTTCAACAAATAGAAGTTTAGTACCAAGAATATAGCACCTACATAAATTTTCTGAGTAGTTACTATATTGCAGTACATTTTAAAAATATAACATAATGACTACTTTTTTAACAATTACTTCAAATCATAAAAATTAAAAACTGAACAAATTATACTGTTACATCTCTGACCCTTAATTCCCCCCTCTATAAGAAAAAATTAAATGAGGTAAATTCTAGGGTTCCTTTCAGTCCCATGACTTTGACAGCTAAATAAAGAAAAATAGTAATTATATGTTCACTTCTTAACCCAAAATCTTGCCTAGGAAAAATTCTAATGAATACATGTCAGAGCAATAAACTTGTTCCAAATAAACTCAACTATTTTTAATATTTTAAATATCGAAACATGGCAAAAGTACTGCCACTTTGCTTAACAGATACTTCTATTCTATTGCTCATGAACATGCAACAACATACCTACAATCATTACAGGAAAACCTTAATTTCCACATATGAACTAACCAAGCATTTTGCCTTCTCAAGAAACTGGTTACTTACTATTCTAAATAAGGATAAATGATATCCAGATTTCTTAATTTGTCTGTGTGTGTATTAAATATCAAAACCTCAGTAAGATAAGAATAATTTTCCCAACTTTCTGGCTTTTTGAGAACATCTCATTCATGTTACACCACCTTTATTGTAAAATATCTGTCCTATCAGACTAATGTCAAAATAGTATTGTTTTGTATCAGCAGTATTTACAACATAACATCAGATACAATGTAATATGATTCCGAACATCACTGCATAAAAATGAGTAAAAATGTTAAAATGTAAAAATGAAAGTAAACTCATACACTTAAAAACCTAAAACTTTAACATCTCTGTGCCTCTAAGAATGTCCCAACATTAACAGCAGTCTGATATGGTAATGGTATGGTTTCAGATAGTTCTGGAGCTTCAAAGGGATGCACCTGGTGATGACCTTCCAGCCACAGAAGATGGCACAGCCTGAGATGGCACAGACCATCACAGCACAAGATAGGGATCCTGTATGCACATCTCTGGTTTATCTTTCTCTTCCTACGCAGCATCAGTATGTACTCACTGAACGCCAACATTCTGATAATCTTACCTAATCCTAACAGCCCCAAATGGCCCCACCTCCTTCACTGTAGTTGAACTAAGTTTCTACCCTCTTTATACTGCACAGTGGGAATTATACCTCAACACTTGAAGCCACGTGAACTGTGAATTGAATAAAACTCTTTATAAGGTCACTCAGCCTCACTTATTTTGGTATAGTAATACAAAACAGACTAACATATACTCTTTTTCAAAGACAAACTCTCCTATGAAATGTAACCTTTTTTCACTATAAGAGTAGGACAAATTTGTATATTTAGAAGTCTAGGTAAAATGAAATTTATATTTATTTCAGTAAAGAGAGATGAATGAGCCAAAATACAAAATAAATTCTGGAAACGGTAGAAGCAACACAACACATAGGAAAGAACAAGTGGTACAACTTATCACGAGATAGAAATGGTGCCCAGCAAATGATCAATACTGGTAGACATAAACAATAACTAATTTTATTCATATCACCACCTCCCCAACAACTCACCCCAGCCTCTGGTAACAACCATTCTATTCTCAAGTTTTATGAGATCACTTTTAAGATTCCATCAGTGATGTCACATGGTACTTCTCCTTCTGGGACTGAGCTATTTCACTTAACATACAACCTCCAGTTTCACCCATATTGTCACAAGTATCAGGGCTTCATCTTTCTTATGTCTGAATGTTATTCAATTTCATATATGTACTACATTTTCTTTATCCTTTCACCAGCTGATGGACACTTTAGCTGTCTCAATTTCTTGGGTATTGTGAATAGTGTTGCGATAAACATCGGACGGAGTGCTGATGTCTCTTTAATAGACTTGATCTCATGTCCTTTGGATACTCACGTACAGGGGAAATCTGAGATCATATGGTCGCTCTATTTTCAACATTTTTAGAAAACTGTATATTTTTCATAATAGCTGTACTAACATATTACAACAGAGTGCAATTTTTCCCTCTTCTTACGTCTTCAACAGCACTGGTTACCTTCTGTCTTTTTTATAGTAGTCATTCTAATTGGACTGAGAGGATACCTTACTTAGGTTTCAATTTCCATTTCCCTGTTAATTAGTAAAATTGGACATTTTTTCATGTACCTGTTCACCATTTGTCCATATTCCTTTTAAAAATGTCTTTTACCATCCATCCATTTTTAACTAAATTATTTGCTATTGAGTTTAGTTCCTTTAATAGTCTGGTTATTAGTCAGACATATAATTTAAAAATATGTTCTCCCAACCGAAGGCTGTCTCTCCACTCCCCACTTCCTATTTTTAAAATTTCAGGTTTTATGTAATCCCATATGTCTACCAGTTTTTGTTTCCTGAGCTTTTGAAGTCTTAGCCGTAAAATCCTTGCCTAATCTGAGGCCCTGATGTCCTCTTTATTGCTTACTTCTACCAACTTCATAGTTCTGTGTCTTAAATTTAGGTATTGAATGCATTTTGAGTTTGTTTTTAATACAGTGAGAAGAGTCTAATTTCATTCTTCTGCATGTGTATATCCAATTTTCACAGCAACATTTATTAAAGACTACTCTTTCTCCAATGTGTTTTCTGATCACTGCTCTGCAAACCAGATGACATTTAGGTATTATTCAGTAATTCTTCCATCTTCTGATGTTTTCTTTTACTTTTAGTGCCTTATTGGGTTTAAAAACTCCCATAAGCACTTATTTTATGTATGACAGGCATGGTGGTAATAAATTCTCTGAACTTTTGTCTGTCAGAGGATGTCTTTATCTCTCTTGTCCATATCTAAAATATAGCTTTGCTAGATATGGTATTCTTGTTTGGCAGTTTATCTCCTTTAGTATTATGTAAATTTCATCCCATTCTCTCCTCGTCTACAAAGATGATGCCAAGAAGGTTTGCAGTCCAGCAAATTGGAACACAGTTACGTGCTGTTTCTTGTCTCTTACATCTTTGAGAATCCTCTCTTAATTGTACATCTTAGCAAACTTGATTATGATGTGTCTTGGGGTAGACTTAAATTGAGTCGAATCTGGTTGTAACCTCTGTATGCCTATATCCAGATAGCTCTATCTTCCTCCAGGTTAAGGAAGTTCCCTGTTGTCTCTGAATATCCTTCCTACCCCATGGTATTTTCAAGTTTTTCTTGAGCCCTCAGTGAACTGAATATTGGCTCTTTTAATAATGCAGACTCAAAGTTCCCGTAGACTTCTTTATTCTACCACCTCCTTTTTTTCTTATTTTTTATATGTTTGCTTTTCTCCTCCAAAGTTCCAATAAGACTTCATTCCTCTTCATATGTTTTCTCATTTTTCTTCTGTGTATTTTCATACAGGCCTTCTCCAAGCTCACTAATACTTCCATCTGGTTTGGTCTTTTGATGACTTCTATAATTTTTAATTTCACTTAATGTACTTTTCAAGTCAAGAATTTGATTTTTTAAACTATTTCCATCTCTCTGTTAAGTTTACCTGTTAGAATATTGATCATCGTCCTATGTTAACTTGAAATTCACCGAATTTCCTTAAAATGGCTAATTTGAGTTCTGAATTTGAGAATTTGCAGGTATCAGTTGCTATCTAATGAGCTTCTGGCACCATATTTTGTTTACTAATTCTTGATATTTGATGTTATGCGTTTGCACCTGTACTTTGAAAGACTGAGAATTTTTTCCAGTATTCCTAATATGATTTTATATGTACATGTCCTAGAAATGCCAGGCAGTTTATTTTCTGTGATTCTATGGGCATTTCTGCTATTTCAGCACTAGATGGCACCCTAAGTTGAGCTTTGCCACAATTCCACCTTTGATCTGTTGCTACAGTTTCAGCACTAGATGACACTCCATTCCATGCTACAACTGATATCCAAACATCACTCTGTGAGGACTAGATTGGGGATAGAGATTGTGTGGCTTTAGCTTCTCACTTTAGCAGACCCAACAGCAAGCTCCAACACAAAGCCCTGAGCTCTCCTCCTTCCCTAACTCCAGGATCTAGGGTTTTATCCATTATCTGCCCAAACTTGGGGTAGAGGTGAAACAGGCAGTCCCTTGATCACTTGGCTAAGACCCTGTTTCATACTAGTATTTACCCTGCTGGGCATCGTCCTGTATGTATTTGAAGTATGCTTTTAATTCTTTCTCTACCCTCTAAGCAGGAGACAAGCAGATTGCAGGCTACACTGCATGGAGCTTAGGGAGGGAGGACTTGGGCCCCTCTTTTCTTCCTACTTCTAGAGTAGTCAACAGTCTGATAGTACTATACTCAATCCTGAATCTCCTTGCAGATGAAGCCCTCTCAATTATATTTTAACTACTACAGTAAAATACTAATAAAAAAAATCACTCTTCTTAATGCCAACAGATCAGATCACATATATCATAATGAGCAATCAATGGATGATAAGTTAATATCCATTAACTAGGGAAAACTTGAGGATATCTAATTTCTGCAAAGAATAAAACCCATGAATCACATTAGCTAATAATTAAGTGGGGCTCAGAGTAAAATTGGCTTGAGCAAAACTAGGTCTCATGTTCCCCCCACCAGGATCAACTACCCAACTCAAATCTACCACCCTACTATCACAATTCAATTTTTTTCCAGATCTCAGTAACACTGCTATTCA